TCGCCACTGCTCACGGGCGCAGGCCTGGACACAGATACAGGCCCCTTGACAATGACCTTCTCCTCCACCCACCGTGCAAATCTCACACTGGGGATATCTACCGCTCGCCAGAACAGATCACCTGCCCACAGGGCGATGGGCAAACAGATCATCCACCCGAGGAGGTACGCGAGTCCGGCCTGGAAGTTCGTCGCCCGGCCGGTGATGGTCCACAGCCGAGGCATGAGGGCGTACCCCAGCCCGTGAAGGATGGGGCCGTGCACGATGTAAAAGGCGAAGGAGATCTGGCCGAGATACTGGGAGAGGCGGTTGGTGAAGAGGCGTTGGATCTCCGGGGAGTGGTTGATGCTGGCGACGATGAGGATGGCGCCAATGGTTTGCGGGAAGCGGTGCGGTTCTGGGTAGGTTTTGGGAGTGACTTTCCAGGTCCACATGTAGAACGGGGTCCATTTATAGCCGGTATTCGGGGTGGAGCCCAGGTAGAGGCCGATGATGAAGAGGGCAAACCAGATGTTGCGATAAGGGATCCGGCGGGTGGAAAGGCGGGAGAGGACAGGGTAGTGGTAGGAATGAGATTTGGCAGGAAGAAAGCGGCGGAGTTGAGGTTTGGGATCGTCGTCGATGGTTGCGGTCGTGGTCGTACTCGAGGATGTGCTGGCAGGGGTGGGATGTTGTTCCCATGTGCCGTGAATGAGGTCAGCTTCTGCGAGGAGCATGCCAGACAGGAAAAGCACGACATCCCAGCGGCCGAAGCGCATGCAAAACCAGATGAGACCGCTGACAAGACTGATCCGGATGGGAGTCGCGAGGCGCGAGGTGCCTAAGATAGTGAGGAAAAGGACGATGGAACTGCGGAATTCGACAGGAATGGTCCACAGATGCGGGTTGTAATTGTTGTAGTAAAGAGACCAGTTGAAGGGGTCCATCAGTTGTGCAAGTGTCGAGTAGCCATCCCAGAACTGCTTGGTGAAGGAGCGCATTATGGGTGGATGCTGCTCATTAGTGCCCAGGATCGTGTGGCCCTCAACCAGGACGCGCCGGGACGGGTGAAAGGCTCCCAAGCGCACGGCCAGAAAGACAAGAGTGATGCCCACAAATGACGGGATATAAAGGCGCAGGGCCCGTCGAAATGTAGCCGAGGCGAGTGTAGTAAATGTCTGTTCCCAGGCGCGACTGCGAATCAGCTTGAGCGGCTTGTAGGAGAGGACGTAGCCGGAGATAACGAAGAAGATGGCCACCATGATATGACCAGAGACGAGCATATGTACTATAGGCAACTGCCAGAGCGCGAAATTCTCCCCATTGAATCCCCAGCCCAACGCGACTTTCCAGGTGTAAGTGAAGAGGAAGTGGAAATTGAAAACGAGCAGACAGGCCCAGCCGCGCAGTCCGTCCAGGGCCGCGATGGCGTGTGGTTTAGCAGCCGGTCGGGGCGTTCCTCCGACGTATTGTTGTAGGTAACTTGGGGTGATTACTATGGCCACTTTGGTACAGAAAGCTTCCGCCATGTCCAGAAAGTGGCTGAGATACTCCTGGAAGCTATCATTGTGATTGTTGGTGCTGAAGCTGCTGCTCATCGACGAGAAACGACGATCGGCGGCTCTGGAGGATGATTCAAGGTCGTGAAGAGGGACATCGTGAACGGGGAGAGGCGAGGCAAGGCCCTTGTCGATCAACGACATGATGGGTTGTATTGTGAGAATCGAACCGCTATGGATGAATAAGAGTGAAATGATTGAGCAATGACAAGGCGTTCGTTACGGCGGGGTTGAGAGAAGAGGGAGATGACGCGCGGCTTCATGGGAGAAGAAACGGTGGGAGATGCAGCAAGAGGAACATGCTAGAGGAATGTCGCACAGTCGTTAGTATCAAGTAGTCCCACGTTACAAGGGTAAGAAGCATAGAGGACATACCTGAATCTGGGAGAAAGGGCTTGGAGCTGAAATGACGAGGCAAGAGGGAGAATGATGGATAAGAAGGAGAGATAAGGAGAGGAAAAGACAGAGAGACGAAGATGAGGGAGGAGAGAAAAGGGAAGGCGGAGGAGGAGAAGGAAAGTTGAATTGCCGCATTTTGAGGCCAGCTTAACTGACTTCAATAAAAACAGATTGAAAGAAACAAGAAATAAAAATGAATCTAAAATTAAACAAAGATTAATAGTAGAAGCCACATCAATTATAGCTCATCTGTTGCCAATGCACATATATAGATACTCAAAAGGTGTTCCTGGAGTCAGAAAATGGCCAACTCTCCTCCCTCTCTTGCTTGCTCTATACTTCCTCCGCGTAGCTCAACTCGAACTTCTTTCGCTTCCTTCTTTCGTTTCTTCTCTTTATCCTCCCTCACGCTGTTTCTTCAACCTCCCAACATCCCCCCATTTCATACCCTTCGACTTGGATCACTTCCTTTACGATTACTACTATATCTCTACCTCATCGCGCTTATCTCGTTTCCCGATATCACCCTCTCGAGAAGTCGTCGTCCGCGTCTACCTCCATGTCCGGATTCGTTCTTCGACTTTCTTTAGCCTCCACTTCAGCTTCATCCTTCGCGCCCTCTTCGCCTATCACTTGCGTCTTTCAACAGGATTAATCATCGCGCAGATACTACAGCAGCGCCTGAATCCCCTTACGCAACTCCTCCATACCGCCTCGTCGCACTCTTCTCCTCCTCGTCCCTCCAAGAACGCGCCCGCCATGGATTTGCGCTCGATGTTGAATAGCGACACTGCTGGCAATGCAAACAATCCTCCACCGGAACCTCAGCAATCGCCATCGGCGCAAACTACACGAAAGCCATCCGATGCCGTCTACAGTCCGCGCGAACAAGTTCCTGCCGCGGCGTCCGCTACCTCCGCCTCCTATCCGGCCGGTTTCCCGGGGGGATCAATGCAGCGGCCTCATGTTTCTCCCGAACGCTCTTCCTCCTACGGCTCGCTGCAGTCTCCTTATCAATATCAGCCTACCCCTGGTCGCTCGGCTGGTTCGCAAGCTGCTCGAGGTCAGAGCCCACAACCAGGTCATTACGGTTCTTCGCGCGATTCCTCCTTCAACCCCCCTCAGCAGCGCTCCCAATCCATTCAATCGGTGCTGTCCCACGATACGCCCATGACTCATGCATCTCACCCCAAGGAAAGTCCCTCAACCGCCGGAATTGCGCCTGGATTTGCCTCCCAGCAATTTTCACCGCCAGGACCCGGATCTCTGCCTGGCACGCCACGCGGGTCGACTGCTGCCTATGCTCAACCATCACCTTCCTCAGCTGCGCGCCCGCCCTCTTCAGGCCAAGACACGCGCTCGAACCGCGCCTCCAGCCCCTGGGCCGGCCAGGAGGCATCGATACAAATGTCACCCACTGCGATGCCCAGTCTGTCGCGTCCTCGAGACCAGACTCCGCGGCCGTACCCTGGTTCCATTGACCGACGCGGCTCAGAAGACAGTGTGAGCCCCAAGACCACGCGGGCTCCCAGCTATCCAGAATCGGCCATACCCACCCAAACCAGCCCTCGCGAGAATGGAATGGCTCTTGCAGAGGCGCATCGTAATTCCAGTCCGCACGAACCTCCGGTACGGAAGCGTCGTCGCTTCGATGCACCCCCGATCTATGCCATGCGGCCGGAACGTACCAAAGGCCGCGGCCCCATCATCCCGAATCCCTTTCCTCCCATCCCCAAGCACGCCCGCGATACTGCGTCTAATCCTTGGATTTTGCGACAGCGGGCTGCTTCGGCTGCTCAAGGTCCCGCACACGCCGCTGCTGTGCCCGTATCCATCAAAGCTTCGAACGATAACCCGCCCAGCAAGACGACGGCCCCGGCCCCGGCCCCGGCCCTCCGTGCGCCTTCTGCAGCGGCCGAGCCTCAAAAGCCTGGCAGTTTGGGACCGTGGGAGCCCTCCATCACCGGAGAGTTTCCCACCGAAGAGATCACGAAAGATGTGTGCGACTTTCTCTTCAGGCATGTCGTGGTCCGCAACGACGCCATCGCAGCTCCAGCGGGAGCAGCAGCAGCAGCGGGGTCGGCGCCCATCATCGAGGTGGAGGCCAAACTGGGCCAACTCATCGATATGGATCGTGGAGATCGGGTCCAGCTGCCTATTCTGACCGAGACAATTATCAACAAACAATTTCCACGCTTCCGGACAGCATTTGAAAGTAGCATGACCGTGGTACGTAATCCTCTTCTCCCGCGGATAATCATCACACCACTAACATGCAAGGCCAGGCTCAACATCAAGCGATGAACAATTTCCTTAATGAAGCCGTCAAAAGGTCCTTGGATCAGGCCGACCGACCCCGCATCCCCATTTCATATGCCCACAAGAAAGAGCGCGACACCTTCTATGAAGTCTCCCCGAACGAATTGCCCCCGGTGATCCGACAAAACCTGAACCCTCGCCACAAGCCCAAGGTCCGCGTGACTGTGGACCAAAGAACCAACGAGGTCCTCGCCAAGATCGTCAAATGCCGCATCGCCGACCTGGACATCCACAGCCCGAAAACCTGCGTCGACTGGCGCATCAGTGTCAACCTCGAAATGAACTACGACGGCGACGTGAGCCAGCTCACGGTTGTCGACCCGGCGCGAGGTCGCGGAGGGGATCGCAACAAAGATCGGATGAGCTACCGCCATCTCGCCTACCAGATCGATCTCACCCAGGTAGCTAAATCTGAAGTACGCTCCGTTTCCCCTCATATTCCCCGACCCCAATAGCCCCCTTGACTAACTTGACCTGTCACAATTAGTCCGTAAAAGGCGAGTTTGAGCACGAACTCGAGGTCGAAGTCTCGGCGGCCGAGATCCGTCGCCAGGGCCAGATGGCCATGAACGGGGAGCAACATCAGTACGAGGACCTCATCAAAGGGTTCCTGGATAATGTCCGCGTTCTGGCCCGTCAAGTCCCTCCGTGACCTATCTACCTCCATTGACTTTTTTTTGTTTCAAACACTTGCGTATTATTCCCCCCTTTTCACCTTAACACTTCTCGCCCTTCGCCCTTCCTCTCTCGGTCACAAAAGTCCCCATCTGATGTGCATATAACGACCCTACACATTTGCATCCGGAACTTCTTTGACCCCCCCCCCTCCGTGTTTATGTTTTCTGTTTCACAGAGTCAAAGAACTTTCAAGTTTCTTATGAAAATGAACATGCGTGTATTATTCTTCTTGATATCAACCTTGTTTTTTTTGTTCGGGTCGGCTTTCTCTTTTTTTCCTTTTCCGAATTGGATGTATACCAGATGTATCATATATAGCTTCTTTCCCCTTCCCCCGTCTCTATTTTTTTTCCTCCTCCGCATTCCTATCTTTACCTACCTACCTTGACTTAGACTACTGCCTTTTTATTTCATAAAATTAAGGGAAATTTATTGATTGACTGGATGATTTGAGCCAAGATCCTCGACTTTCTTAATTGGTAGTTGTGTAGAAACTTCTACGTATTAGATTCTAACAAGAGTGACAAGACCCCGACTCAAGGAATAGGCGAGGTGAGAGTGAAATAGGATGAAGATTGGGGGGTTTGTAAGTAGATAAGATAGAATAATACACATGATACAAAATGGTTATGCAAGTTTTGCGACGATGTTTGTTTAATCCAGAAGCCGCGCGAAAACAAAGAAAAAGAAGGAAAAAAAAAGAAAAAAAAGAGCAGCAGTAGCAGCAGCAACAACACCCGAATCTTCGGAAGAGAACAACAATGCCAGCGAAAGCAAATCAGTGTGTGGGATTTCGAGGATCAGGGAAGTTAAGCTATACGATGGATGCATCCTATCCATCGTCCATCGCATGCAAAGAGAAAAAAGCAGTACAAGACACGCCCTCTGTCAGACGGTGTGGAACAACGGATTTTGGTGATCTATATTTTCCCGGGAAGAAGTTTCCTGTACCTAGGTTTGTCGCCCTTCGTCGATTTGGGTTGTGGAGATTATTGATGAATTCGTGAGAAGCGTGAAGAGTGGCGGTTTCAAGGGCTGGGCGTTCCCTCTTCGTAGCGTGGTCCTCCGTCGTCACCGTCGTAGCCGGCACCGGGAGTAGCGGCTGCTCCGGCCGGAGTCGGTGCGTCGTAGGGCCGACTGTGGCTGCCCGCACCGTCGAACGCGGCGGGAGTGGGAGCATCGTACCCCCCTCGTTTCGAGATTCCACTGGGGGTGGGTGCATTGAAGGCGCCGGGCGTCGGGGCACTGTCAGCCCAGCCACCCGGGGTGGGTGCCGACGCTCCAGGCGTTGGGGCACTGCCGTAGGCGCCAGGGGTGGGGGCGGAATAGTTGCCTCCGGGTGTCGGGGCGTCGTAGCCCTTGTTGCCGTTGCTGGCGGATGCTCCTCCCCAGGCAGGCGTCCTGCCACCGGCGTTGGCACCGGCACCGCCCCAGGCCGGGGTGCGCGAGCCGGCGGCAAAGGCGTCAAAGTCACTGTTGCCAGACCCACCGTAGGGGGTGCGGGCGCCGGCATTCCAGGCGGGTGTACGTGAACCAAAGCCTCCGGCTCCTCCGTAGGCGGTGCGACTGCCATCATAGGGGTTAGAGGTGCGGGAGCCGTCTTGTTTCCAAGCAGGCGTGCGTGCGCTGCTTACGCCGCCCCATGCAGGAGCTGTGAGAACAAACAGTCAGTATGCGTGCAAGTGGAGTTGTGCATTGATACTTACTTCGAGCGGATGCGGCACCACCCCAGGCCGGCGTCCTAGAAGAATCACCCATACCCATCGGAGTCCGACCACCCTGCCATGCGGACTGGGAGGCAGCGGGGCCGCCGTTGGGAATGCGTCCACCACCCCGTCCCCGGCCCATTTCGATTGTCTGGCCAGTGATCGGGTCCTTGACAACCAGAAGTTCCTTGTCGATCGTAACCAGCTTGTTCTTGGAATGCAGTTCCACGCGGGCCTGCAAATCCGACGAGTCCTTGACAATACCGACTAAGCCCTTGTAGGGTCCCTTTCGGACCTGAACAGTCTTGCCAATCATCCTGTCACGTCCAAAGCTTCGCTGAGGCGGTCCCATCATGCCGCCAGGAGCTCCGTTCCTCATCAGCGCCGGGTTCATCTTTGTCAAATCGGGTCCGGTAGCCCGTCCTCCTTTAGCCGACACAGTGACAACGTTTGTCGTGCGCACAACCACAATACCAGAGTTCTCAGCCTGCGCTTTATTATGCAAGAAGAGGAACGAACGGTAGATATGGAGGATCACGCCGCTGCGCTGCTCACCAGCCACCTCCCGTACTGTGTCTCCAAGGCGGATCTCGGCACCACTGCGATCCGTGGCCACTGCATCCCGACGCGGCGTGATCTTGTTCGTGACATGTGTGGGAAGGATGGTACGGATAGATCCGTTCTGATCCAGTACCCGGAGAGACTCGCGATCAACTTTGACAATGCAGGCGACAGTAGCAGCACTGTATAGCTAGTTAGTCATGATATGAGTAGTAGCCAAGGAAATCAACTCACTCTAATTGGACCAAGTCGTGCACGTCGAACATGCCGAGTTTGCCGTCCACGCCAGTCTCCGCAGATAGACGCAAGTCCTTGCTGAAGACTGTGATCTCTTGCATACTCATGTCACTGAGCAGGGTCACCGTGTCATCCTTCACCTGTACAACCATACCCAGCTCGTCCACATATCTGCTGCCTCCAATTACCTTGACATGGTCACCTTCTCTAAACCGCTTGCGAAGAGTCTTGACCGGTGCTTCAATAGTCTGTCCTGCCAAGTCACCCTGCGTGACCACCAGAGTCACAATTTCACCCCGTGTGGAGGTGGTGCGTCCAATCAACCCTTGCTGTTCACCCCGGTAGACTTCGACAGGATCGCCAGGGAGATATGATTCTTCGGCAGTCTGGTTCTTCAATGTTTCGGCCAAAGAAGCCAGATCCAGATTTGAAGTGCCGTCGTCTGCGCCGCGAGCGAACATGGTGACCTCTTCCAGTCGAGGGTTCACATTCTTTGTGATCAGGTGCTGGACCTTCATGTCCTTAACCAAGAAGCCCTCCATGTAGGTCTCACCCAAATAGCTCCATGACTTGCCACCCAAGCCAGACGTCGCAGAAAGGTACTTGGCGTGCTTCTTCTTGGCTTCAGCCTCGCTGAAGGCACGTTGAGGCGGGCGAGCCACTGCTGGGTTCATGCCAGGACGCTTCCGCTTAGGATCGATGGCAGGGGCACCAATATCCTCGTTCAGACCGTAATCCAAACGAGGAACCAAGCGCACCGTCACAGCAAGACCGTTGGTCTCAACGTCCTCAATCTGCGCAAGATCGCCCTGGTATTTTCCACGCTTGATCCGAACCCAGCCGCCAGGCACAAGCTCTTCCGACTTCTGCACACGCAAAAGATCCGGCATCTCTCGTACGGGCACCAGGATCATCTTTGTCCGGGGATAGACGTTCGTCATATCCTGCAGCGCATCCATGACATCAGCCTGCCGGCGTGCCTCGACGTAGATGTATCCAGCCATCGCTCCACCTCTCTCGAAGGCGGAAATAATCTTGACCGGGTTGCGAGAGCCAGGCGGACGCTCTTCGATGCGCTTCTGAATCGAGAATACCACCTCACGCTCCTTGCCAGCCTTACAACGAACACCCCAGATACTCGGATCGTCGACACTCGGGAGAAGCAGTCGCTTGGGAACAATCACGGCATCGGTGGCCGCCGCACGGTTTCGACCATACCGCTCCTTCAGCATCTGCGCCTGCTTTTCCGCATCCATACTGGCCGCCAATTCGCGCTGGCGATCCAGCTGTCTGTGCCGACGATCATCCGTCTCCACCCCAACGGGCAGTGTGTCCATATCATCGGGGTGCATTTCCCCGCCAAATTCCATCTCATCCTCCTCGTCTTCAGCCTCATCTTCATCCTCATCGACACCGGCCTCGGTATCGACGAAAGAGAGAACACCTCCTCTCCGTCTGCGCTTCGCGGGCCGTCTCTATAAATTCAGATGAAACCTGTTAGCCATAACACGTTTTCTCCGAGCCGCTGCGAAAAAAAAAGAAAAAGAAAAGCGTTCGCCGGAATCTCTAGAGCCCACTCACGGGATTCACATCGTCATCGTCGTCCTCATCCTCCTCATCTTGATCCTCATCTTCCTCGCCCTCGTCGTCTTCATCGCCTTCCTCGTCATCGTTGTCGTCCCCTTCATCGTCGTCATCCGCATGGCCGCGCCCTCTTGCGTCATCTTCACTGCCCGCGCGAAACCGTGCCGTCCGTCCAGTGTGTACATCAGCGTCATCGTCGTCATCGTCGTCGTCGTCATCCCGACGACGGTGCGTCGCCTGCAGAAAAAGAACCCCAGCGTCAGCCTGATCCGTCCGACATCACACATTTCCCAGCCTCGGTACAAACCTTCGCATCCTCGTTGTCTGAGTCATCCGCCGGAGCGGGGTTGAAATCGTCATCTTCCTCTTCGGAGCCGAAGTCCTGATCTATGAGGTTTCGCGACATGTTGAACGGAGGATCGATTGATTTGTGACGGAAGAATGACGATCGTATTCGCAGAGTGTGATGATAGTAGAACGGAATGGAAGTCCGGAGGTGGTAGTCTCGTCAAGTTTGAGATCGTGGGGTTGTGTCAAGACGAATGTCTGAAGCGTATATCGAGGTCGATCAGTCACGGAGGCAAGTCGGAGGGATATTGAGCAGGAATTCCCACAAACCTCTTGACGCGGTAAAGATCTCTGATAGGATCGATGAATTTTCGGTATTAAGAATATATGACTTCTTCCCCAGAGTCAGTGGGTGCAACGAGAGAAGCAAAGACCGCGCAGAGCTGGCAGTGTTGCGAGAGAGGTTTCACCTCGGGGGCTGCGGCGAGGCGAGTTTCCGTTGTTTCGCCGACTCCGCGAGGCGCGATCTTCTCACCCAGCTGGTTGTTGAGAAGAAAGAGGTGAGCAGGGAAAGTGGATTTGTATCGCACTGGAATTAAAGTGCCAGACACCAGCTGCGATCGAAACAGGACACCGAAGGAGAGATAGTAAGTGTTGGGTTAAATGGAGAGGAAGAGAAAGAAAGGTGGAAGAAGGCATCAAGCATTGAATGGATGATTGCTGCAGGCAAATGTCATTTTCGGTCCTTCCGCCCCGCCGGACCGCCTTCCTTTCACTCAACCGCATCGGCCTTCCTCTCCCTCCTGCAATTGGCACTTCGATTTCTTTCATTTTATTTGCGTGACTTGTTGACTCTACTGGATAATTGATCTTTCAGTTCATTCAGATGGTATTTCCGTATTTTGCGCTCTAATTGAAAGGACTTTTGGCATCTTTTGGCAGCCTTTCTGGCCCCACTTCGAGGAGGCCTACAGCACCATACACAGCTCAGCCATCATTCATTGAATTTGCGATATGCTAAGATAGTCAGTCCTCCAGGGCAGTTTCTGCGTGATATGTTACAGGACGTTCAGC